TTCTAAAAACACAGGCTCTGTCCATCTGCCCAGAAGAGCAATTTGTGTTTATATATTTGTGTTTGTTATATTTATTATCACTGTACCTGACAAAGTATAGCTATAAGTTAAAGAAAAAAAATTGTGTCTATGAATGCTTTCATGTAAAATACAAGTAAATAGTTGCATATTTTTATAGGTGATAATTATGTACGTATTCACTAGTAATATATTATTTTACTTATATTAAGAGAATTTTACATTTTATTTTTAGATTTCATCAGCATAAACAATAGTTATTTCTAAAGCACAAAGACATTAAGCCGATCACAATTATGTGTGTAGTGTATGAGTGAAAGGGAAAGTGCAATCAGTGAAAATTTATCTTTTAAGAGGTGGTTGTGGAGTGAGAGGAGTAGTGGAGATATAAGAGGAGATTTTGGAAAATAGGATGGGGTGAAAATAAAAAGTGAAGACTTGGGACATGGGTGGTATGTACTATAAATGTGGCGACCAGTGGTGTAATGGTCAACATCCTCGCCTCGCAAGCGAGTGGACCTGAGTTCGATCCTCGGGCAGGGTGAAACTATGGGCAAGTTTCTTTATGCCATTTGCCTCTGTCTACCCAGCAGTAATTGGGAACCTGGATGTTAATCGATTTGTGGGTTGTATTCCGGGGTAATGGTTACCGGTAGTCAGTGCAGTTGGCGAGCTGTCCAGTCTTCTCGGACTATTCCGTGACACTCTGTCATGCAGCTCGTTAACTTAGGGTGTGGTTGTTGTGTTGGCGACAGCTTCTACACCTTAACAAATTCACACCTAGGAGGCCCTTGGGCCGGCCATCCTCGATTTCGAGGGGCTTCCATTTATTTAAATGTGAAAAGAACGGATGAAGACAAGATGACCAATAATGAAAATGAGTAAGGTGGAAGGCAGAGTGGAAAGAAGACTGAGAACAAGGAGGAGGGCTAGAATAAGGTACAGTAGGGTGTTCATATGGAGGAATTTGTAGAATTATGGAAGGGTGAAAGATGACTTACTTCAATGTAGAAAGACAGACAGAAGTTGTCATAAAGGAAACCAGTATTCTTCAGTTCCTCTCCAACTTGATTACATTATGTACTGCATTTGAAGTCTGCATTTGTTTTAACTATTAAGAAGAAGTCATTAGCAATGATATTGTGATATAGACAGACTAAACACAGTAAAGTGCTGTGAGAAGTTAACAAAGTTTACATGGCATGAACTACAGTACTATATTGAGTTGTTAGTTCTCACACTCAAAATCCCAGGTGTGTTATTACAATATAGCCAGACTAAAAAATAAATAAAATATAATCATTACTTAGTGGAAGATACTTTAGGTTAAATGTAATATAATAATGAACCATTTAAAAGTACTATGAACAATGGAATTATTTAAGGCTCAATTTCAGTTATTTTGATAATGTACAGTAATGTCAAAAAGTGTAAGAACATCCTGTAAAAAAAAAAATTATCAATATACCGGTATGCTTAAATATTTATAATTTTATAGACCTAGTTTTGTACAGTCTCGTTCAAGATTCTTCGAACACTGCTGGAGACAGCTGACAACTTAAGGCCGTTTGTTTACTATAGTACGTAGTATAATATAATTCAAAACAACAAAGCCCTACCATTAAATTAAGCAACAGGGAACTAGGTAACCAATCGCTGATCACTTTTATATTTATTCATAATTTTTACTACGTACTATAGTAAACAAATGGCCTCGAGTTGCCAGCTGTCTCCAGCAGTGTTCGAAGAATCTTGAACGAGACTGTGCATCTAGGATATTCTGCCTATATTTACCATGGGTACTGCTCAGTGACTCCTTAATCAGTATAGCTAAATATGTCTAACTTGTAACTAAACAGTTCGGTAGTGAAGTGAGAGTTTGATGTTTTTAATAACATAGTTCCAAATCTTACTCTACCTTGCTCATGTTGATCCGTTATTATATCAGTGTTTTATAATAAGTTCAGGCTGCAGAGATGTGGGTCTTTCACTTACTTTTGTAATATGACAAATGAAACTTAAGTGATTTACACATGATCATAGAATAACAAGTAATCTGCTTAGACTATGAATTTTTAAGCTTTTACTTGGGTTAATATTTGACTAATTGGGTTATTATGCTCCTTATGACAACATTTATTACTACACCAACTATCCACAAGATAGGAAATGATTACTTTTAATACTCATTCTCTTCACATGGTAGAAAGACAAGTTAATGCCATATTTTACTGAGATAAGCATAACTATACTGTACATCATTGGGGGGTATTCTAGTCATATGTTTGACAAAATGAAATTGTTTTCTGGTTCACAATTTCCTGTGATATTTATTTATGACTTTGAACATTGTATTAATATTTTGTAGAACTTGGTTCATGACAATAAATGTCTTTTTCCTATGACTTACTACCTTATGATAATAATTTTTAGAAAAAAATCAAAGTAATTATTTGGAAGATACAGCATAACATTTTGTTGTTTCAACATTTAATATATTTAGACAGTTTGAAAATATTAAAATTTAATCTTATTAATTTATTTATTTATTTTTATTTTGTTCTTATTATCGAGTTCACATCTATTGCCTCATAAGATATTGAGGCATACTAGACCTTTCAATACAGTAGATCCCTGTTATATCTCAACAATATGGTTATGGCTAAAACAAACCCAGGTAACTACTGTATTGCTGAAATGCCTGTATCTCAGTAAATGGACCCACAAGGCTGTGTTGACCTTTCCAGCTTGTCACAGTGTGTTATAATCCAAATACACTGTACCTTACCCTGAAAAGAATAAGTTCCATTATTAGTTGGCCACAAAAATGAAGCATGATTAATATGGACATAACATAGGAGGGGCATACTGTACATCTATAAATATTTTATGGCAATAAACAAATGATAAAGTATATGAAATTATTAAATTAACTGAAAATGCTGAGTACCTTATTGTTAAAACCAGTGGATGCACTGTATAAATTTTACTAATTTCTAGGAAGTATATGTTGGGGTTTTTTCTAATTTTCCCAAAAGATAAAAAAGGATTAGAGGTGAGTAATAAAACAGATTTTTGCACCTGTAGTCAGTAGATAAATGTTTGCTTTTTTCCATGTACTGTACTTTATATATTTATTGGTTCTCTGAGCCATAAGCTCAAAGAACCATTGGCTGGGTGTGATATTTTTGATGTTATTGGTTTAGTTGGTGTTGTCATCAGTATTTTGTTCAAATTACAACTACTTCAGTTTGCAACTGATTTCCATGAACTTGATTGAAAATTTTTAAATTGTAATGTGTCTAGTCTTTTAGTCTTTGTAACCTTTATACTTTATAATTTATGATTTTTTTTTCTGCTCTTAGGTTGACACCTAAATTTTATTTAAATCCCAGAGATCTAAACTATTCTGTTACTGCAAACTTATCACAAGTAAATTTTTACAGTTAGGTTACTACAAACAAATTTCAAGTGAGTACTGTAATGTGGTGGGTAAGAAGCACATCTAGTTAGCTACCATAAATGTTTAGGTTTTATACTACAGTACTTGATGTGGTCTTGTACATAACTAGTAATTAATGATAAAGGATAATAAACTGGTGACAGTGCTGGTAAATTAGTGGAGTCATCGCCTTTAAACCAGGCACATATCACACCCCTCACATTGTAGTGAACTGACCTAATTTTGTGGGATGTTACCTATAACCACACCCAACTCCTTCAATTTCTCACTTCTATTGTTCGGGCCAATGACTGCTACAGTAGTCCTATTGCATGTGATCGAAGTTATGGTCTTATCAAAAAGTGACAGAATTCCTTGTTTTTTGTCACAACATGGACAAAATTAGAGGCAAACAGTCTATAAAGTCACTCAATATAGACACCTTACACATGAAGTCACACATCACCATAATATAACCCAGTGAAATCTGAATTTTGTATATAGTCTTAAACTTCTAATCATTCAGAAAGAGAGAAAAATATATAAGTTTCTACCATAGACTGTACCTGTTTTGGCTATCATTAATCATTGTGATGAAAAAAAAACAAGGATTTAAGTAAGAGCGATGAGAACAGTTGCTGCCCAAAATTTGAAAAGGAGACTTTACACCAGCCAAATGTAGCAATGATAGAGAATACAGTGATCACTTATTACCAGTAAGGAATCTCTCCATAGTATACTGTACTATATAAAGTATTGCATTTTTAGATGTAAAAAGAATTCCAGTTTATCCATGAAAACTTTTCAGTGTAAATTTTTAGTTCTAAATGTGCAATCCTCACACAAACCTTAACCAGCAGATTGATCTGACAGTTATCCCTAAATTTCAATGTTAATGATATGAAATTTACTGAAGTGTATTTTTATATTCTAGGAAAGTCATCCACTTTATATGATACCAAAAGTCCTGACTGGGCTCCTTCAAGGAATCTGGGCTATAAATCCATAAAAAAGAGTCAGGAGAATGATAGGAACATTCATTACAGCACCGAAAGGAATGAAACGTCTGATTGTTGTTAAGATTTACAATTGCTGAATCAACTTTGTGTAGGACATAAGTTGCTTTTTAGTATACAGGCTTTGCAAAAATAGAAAGTACTGTACATGCCTACATGGATGTATAAGATCAACGGCCATTTATTGATGTTACTGAGCTGCTCATTTCTTGTAATTTTGTGTGGATCACTGGAGCCCAAATAGCAGCCTTATACTGATCCATCATGCCACAATTTTGTATGGTTCCCATCTTTTCACTCAGAGTTTATTTGCACTTATGGCTCTTTCAGTATTTTTTCGCATATTATGTACATACAGGGAAATACTTTGTGATTTTATTAATTTCTGAGAAAATATTTAAATTCTTTGTAAAACTTACAGACTGGTGTTGAATAATGTTTTACAGTACTGTAAGCAGTAAAATAAATGATTCATTGTGTTTATTTTTTTCACTTATTAATGGTGTGTATGACTCATATTACAGGGTGACTGGAGTGTGTCACTACCAGCGGGCACACTAGTCAAAGTGCTGGCAGATTTCAGTGCTGTAAGAGAGGATGAAATATCTGTAGCCAGAGGGGAAGTTATCCAAGTAAGCTCACAAATAACTACATTTTTAAAAATAAATTGTTTTTAATAATATCTAAAACAAAGAATGGCAGATATTAGTGGTAAAAGAAATACTTATAGTACACACACACAAATACCATTTGATAAAATTTGACTTTTTCTTCTTCTTCAGGTAATTTCATCTAATGTCTTAAGAGGTTACCTTGTTCATCGTGCAGCAAGTAGTAGTAGCCCAGCAGCGGAGGGGTGGGTACCAGCAAATGTTGTACTTCCATCAGCTTTTCCTGATCTACCTTCAACCCCTCCTGCCTCTCCACCACATTCAGCTTCACAGTATGAATATCAGATGAAAAAACCATGGATGAAGTTCCGTAAACCCTCATTCTCTAAAAGAGATCACCATCACATGCTAAGAAGAGAAGAAACTGTACATGAATTACCCTCTGTCCGATCATCTCCATCTCGTCCTCTGGTGCCCACTAGGCAAATGACAGTATCATTAATTAATCCATATCATTCTGAAAGCGACAACCACTGTGTACAACACTTGGAGAAACCCTCAAGTGGATGTATACCTGCCTCACCAGAATCTCCAGTCAGAATCTTATCCCCTTTAAGAAATGTGACTGTGTGTCCAGGGGAACCAGCTGAAATGGTGTGTGTAATCACTGGTGCTGGGTTTTGGGCAGAATCTACTACTGTGACCTGGGCAGGCCCTCACGGACCACTGACTGATCCACGCTTTGAGATGGAACAACATCGTGATGGGACTCTGAGACTACATTTGGGAAGCTGCCGTGTAACAGATGCAGGCGAGTACACTTGTACCATCACCTGTGCTGGACATTCCATTGCCTGTTCTGCACGCATCAATCTAGCCCAGGGTAAGGATCACAGTTATTCCAATGGTCATTCCTAGTAATAGGAGTGCCTAGTATGGGCTGGAGTGGGTTAAGGTTGGTCTTGTATACTTGATAAACTCAAGTTTGTTTGAATAACTTTTGAGTTGGAATATTTCACATTAAGTGTATTTGTGCATGAATTTTTTTTTATTTAACTTTGATTAATTCTTTATCTTCATAATACTATACTACCATCACTGATACCTTCATCGTGTTTTTCTCTAATATGTTTAAATTGAATGCTAATTTTAACTTACTGGGAGTTATGTTCTGACTGAAGGGTGTGAGCACTGTATGATGGTCGTCATACAGTATAATATATTTCATAAATAAAAGTTAATGCTTTTTTATAAAAATATGCCGAAGAATCAGATGTACAAACTATTTGGGAGTGTGAATTGTTATATACTGGTATAGTATTTGTGGTAGTTATTAAATTAACCTTTTATTGCTGAATGCTGAAGGGGAGGCAGTTAAGAGTATACACTATTTATGATATACATATGTAGACAGTACCATTTAAATGCATGTTAATATGTTATACAACTTCAGCATATGTTTCCGTATTTTATCTTCAACATTGTAGAATACATTCTGAAATATTTCTTTTCATCAGCTTGTGGAGAACACTGTCATCAACATTCTTTGTAGATTATCGTCATTACCATTTTAATTATTGTTTTGTAGAATATCTAATAAGTTCTTTAAGTTTATGGTAAGATGATACTGATCTGAAGTGATAAATTATAGAAGTATAGAATCTTGAGAATGTCTAAGGCTTGGTATTGTTTGGACTGATCTTAGCTGTGTGTACTGAAATTATTTAATTATTTACAAATAATCAATGGAAATTAAAGATACGTACTGTATTACAGTATAAAAATCATATGAAGATATTACACCAGACTAATTGCACTATTACAATAACACTGATACTGTATATACAGTAGTATGGTAATTTAATTAAGATAAGCACACCAATGCACTTACATTTTTTTATTATAACATTTAGATTACAACTTTACTTGACACGCTGTGCAAGCATTTTGCTTGAAAGTTTTCTCTTTACTTTAGTTATTGGTTCCCATATTATCTGTGAGAAATTTTGACTTAATGAAATGGCCTTACCTTCTCTATCTGTATGTATCTAAACATGTGTGTGTCCTTGTGAGTGTTGCATGTGTTCATACACATATTCTTATCTACGAATTCCTGTGTGTGTGTGCGTGCGTGCATGCATGTGTGTGTGTGTTACTGGTATAATTATTGTACAATTTGGAGTGAATTACAGTACAGTACCTTATTATAGTACAGTAATTACAATACTGCAGATGCTCTGAAATTTGTGACATTTATGATGTTCCTATGATTTGTAATGGAGAAAGATGGGGGAAGAAATATCAACATTCTCTTCAGGCAGTCAATCGTGTGGACCAATTACAGTACAGTAAAGATTTTTTTCTAAGCATAATTGCAATGCAGGCCAATACTATTTCTGAATTGTGCCCATAACTTCAGATCTTATGCAATGGTAAGAACCTAATGGAATTCAGTCTTAAATAACTACCGTAGTTACTGTAACATTAAATGGTACTGTTGTTGTAAGGGATTTCAAGATTTACTTTTTTTTTAATTGCTTTCTGTATATGAAAAAGTAAATCCATCCTGCAAAGTCAGCATAATTTTTGTGTAGTCTGATGTTATTAGTACTCAGTGCTTTCCTCATGGGAATTACTGTATTCAGCTTTCCCATTTTCACAATGCATGGATGTCTCAATATAGTGCCAGTTTAGGGGTTTGGAAGAGTTGATTAATAGGTTATAGTGTACTTGGTTACTTGTAGTGTAATGGTCAGCATCCTGGCCTCACAAGCAAGTGGACCCTGGTTTGATCTCATGGCAGGGTGAAACTATGGGCCAGTTTCTTTATGTCCCTTGCATTTACCCCATTCTACTTAACAGTAATTGAGGACTAGACCTAGATGTTAATTGATTGAGGTAATGATTAGTGAGTGCAATTGGCTAGTTGTCCATTCTTCTTGGATTATTCATTGATGGTGACTCATACAGCTTATTAACCTAAGATGTGGTTGCTGTGTTGACAACAGTTTATATACATTAAACAAATTCACACTTATGGCCAGCCACCCTCAAACACAAGGCAAGGCAACCCACTAATATTATGCTAGGCTAATTACAGTGCTTAGATTGCCCCAGAACAATTATGAGTAATATTTTTACTTTTAACTCGGTATGTAGATTTTGTTTTTAAATAAAATTCTCACATGACTGGCCTCTATGTAGGGTGCAAAACATTAGTTTATATGGTTCAAGTAGTATACCAGTACAGTATTTCTCAGAGTACTGTACAGTGACCCCTCATTTAACGAACACCTCGGTTAACGTAATTTCGATTAACGAACTGCCTTCCATAAGGATCTTCAATTCGGTTAACGAAAAAAAATTCGGTTAACGAAGTTCTTACGAACCGACCTCAACATGTTTTCGCTTGCACTGACCGGGCAACCAGCTTTAGTATCAGTCCGCCAATACATTAATCGGTTCTAGGGCTTAAATTCCTTACTATTTTAGTAAATATCAAGAAGTTTATACTATTCACTAATTTTAAAAGATTAATATTCAATTTTTTAGTCATTTTAACAATTATTGAACATAATTGAAGGTAAAGTGACTAGTTTAATGCGCGGCATCCAGCCTCTTAACACAGCAAACAGGAGTTAGTCTCTCTCTGTTTTCACTGGAGGTAACATCTTGCTTGAGACTCTCTTCAACTAAACGCTTTTTTTCTGTGTTTCCAAACAAATTATTGGTCATTTTGAAATATATTTTACATATTGACAATATATAATGCAGTGCAGTGTTGATTTAAAGAAAATAATCTTGAATTACACCAAGAGAGCTAAAATTTTATGGGTGAAATGGCGCCATGGGGTGACTTCTCTTCCACCCCAATGCCTTCTCTTCTTCCTTCTCCTCCACCCCCATTCTAAATCCCATCATCATCATCATCATCATCATCATCATCATCAGGAGCCTTCTACATACACACCTCAAAGTAAGTGAACTTTTCTACCATTTTTGTTGAATTTAGGAAATTTTCGGTGAGCTGGAACCAATTACCCAAAAACCCATTGAAACAATGGTTTCGGTTAACGAACGACCTTCTGGAACGGATTGAGTTCGTTAACGGAGGGGTCACTGTACTAGAATGAGGTGTCTTGCATAAAACTTAGAAAGTCTACTACAGTTTTACTGAAAGCGCCAAAAAGGATCAAAAGGTAATGAAAACATGTAAATTAAGGTAAAGTCAGCCCAAAAGTTGCAAATACACCACTAGAGCACAGCACTTTACAATCTTGTTAGTGACACTGAAAAACATTCACATCAGTGCAATCTCTTATCCTAGAAATTCTTTAGAAAGTAGTACTGTACCTGTATAGTAGTCACAAGTGATCGCAGGCCCTTCGTGCCCAGTGAAAGTTTGAACGCTCGTGCTTGGCTAGCGCGCATCCGCCGTCCGGCTGACAGCATACAGTGACAAAATGGTTAATTAATGCCTTCCTAAAGAAACCATCGATATGGGACCAGGTTTGTTCCACTCTACGATTTTTTTGCGATTTTTCCACCAAGTTTGATGAAAAACGATTGTGCCGTTTCGGCTGCCAAGAACAGACACACACACACAGACACACGGCTATTCCTATAGTATATTAGATAGTAGTACAGTACAGTAATAGTAAGAGCAAAAAACCATATCTCATAAACTAGTAAATCGGCAATTTGTAGGTATAATGACCATTATTGTACTTTACAATGTGTGCATGTAAAGGGATAATTTAATTGAGGAATTTGTAAGATTTTTTTTTTATCACTGGACAGAAACTCAAAACCTGGATTCCTTAAACATTATGCCATTACTGTGATTTTCACACACTTTTGAAAATGAAGGCCATCAGTGCATATGAAGGAAATAGTGTTATGAAATTTTGACTTCCTGTAAAATTCTTACTTTTTTCTAATTTTTAAGTACTGGTAGTATGGAAGCAGTCTTAAAGAATTATAGGCCCATTTCACTGGGTTTCTTACATAACTTAACTAAACTATTTCTCAATTTAGTCTTATATTTGGCAACATATGCAGGGTCTACAGAAGACAGTAAATGTACCAAAACAGACAGCAACACTTAAAATAGGCAGGCACATCAATAAAATAGGCATGCATAGAACTAAGACAGCCACAGCACAAAAAAGACAACCACAGCACTAAAATATACAGCCACAAGTTATTTCAATATGAAGATTTAGTCTTTGTAATACTGCACAAAGATACACACAGTCTGCAACATGCCACCATGATTTTTGTGTAAGATAGATAAGTTTGTAGAGATAGTATTTTCACATATATATATACTGTATCAAGGTTTAATTAATTGAAGGCCTATTACTAATAATATACAGTATAAGTGTGTTGAGTGGCATCTTGTAAAAAGAAAAATTATATCCCTGTACTGTATAAGTGGACTGGCTTAGTATTACGTATACAGTATCTTTTTAAACCACAATACTATACTGTTCTTACAACTGAACATAAATACAGTACCACAACACATTTTATTATTATAATATCTTTTGGTTCATGATACAGTAAATGGTATTTTCATTGATTATAAATTCTTTCAACCCTTACCATAATATTTTTAAAATAATGCTGGTTTCCAGCACTATATTGATTCACATTACATAAAAAGTGATAACATGTAGTTCAATTAGTTTTAGCTCTGCTATCGTACTAACTACTTATCTGTGTTGTTAAAGAACATTCCAGCTTAAATTAATATCTTTGGGGAACATTTATGTATACAGTACCTCATTTCCATAACATGTAGCTTGACTGATGGGTAAATAATATTGCCCATAAGACAATAACCACCTTTCTACTTTACATAAGCATGGTACCTGTACT